GGATAAGATATAAAGGATAGAAAGAGCTGTGGCCATCTCCTGCTTGCTTTTCTACCTTCTGCCTGCCATGAATAGTTTTTCCTCTGTGATACCTGTCTGCCGTGCCGCCCTGCCTTGGAGACAGCCAATTATGGACTGAAACTTCTAAAAACGGTGAGCTAAATCATCCTTTCCCCCTTTAACTTTGGGTGTTGTGTATTTTGTCTTAGCAAAGAGAGAAAAGTAACTAAGACACGTATTATTCTGTTTACATGAAATATCTTAAATAGCAACTCCATAGACATAGAAAGTGAATTTGTGGTTGTCAGGAGGAGGAAGTGACCGCTGCATGGGTACAGGGTTTCCACTTGGGGTGGTGGGAAGTTCTGATACTAGCTAGTGGGGTGGTTGCATAATATTGTCAAGATACTTAATGCTACAGAATTGTCTATTTCAAAACAGTAACTTTTATGTTGTATGATTTACCACAAGTAAAAATATTTCCTAAGACAAGCAACACAGCTGAAATGTCCACCTCATTTCAACACCAGCCTGTGTCCCTCATTTTAATAACAGTTTCCCATTGCATGCTAAGCATTGTGTGTGAACTATCTCTTTTGGTCCCCATGCAGTCCTAGGAGGTGATGTTATCACTCCTATTTTGCAGTTGGGGAAACAGAGAGCAGAAGTGGTAACCCAAGTCCCATGGAGTGGGTCTCAAGGCTCCAAGCCCTCAGCGGGCACTGTGAAGCCAGCTGAAGGGATGGGGAAGGTGCCTCCCCTCCCTCCTTCTCAGCAGCAGGTAAGAGCTTGGCACCCAGCACCAGCTTGGGAGGCCACTGTGCTCCTTCTTGCCATCAGGATGGAAGATGAGATGCTCTTTGGAACTGCTTCCAGCTTTTGCCTCACATGTGTGGAAAAATAGGGGTGGGAAAGGGAATCTGGAGAAGACATCCATCTAAATCCCTTGGAAGGAAGCCCAAGGTCACAAGGACATTTATCCATGAAGGAATAATTGGTGCTACCTGGAACCTGAATGTAGGGTCTTCTCCTCCATGGAGAATGTGAGGCTGACCCCTAGAAAAGACACTTCTTCAGCATTGCCCAGCCCTGGAGGCTGGGATTCTCCCACCCTGGCACTTCACATGACAGCTTCCAATGACAAAGGACCCAGACTTGGCCTGTAGAAAAAGAGTATGGCAGGGAGCCACTGCCAAGGGAGCAGCCATCTCCCAGAATTCACTTCCGACTGGCAGCCAGCTCTGTCCCTGCTGTAGCAGCTCAGTGGCAAAAACTCAACAGAAGAACAAGCTTCAAGAGGGGGTGGGATGGAAGAAAGGATGTGTCCTTGGCACTGACTGTCTCTGCCCTGGCTACTGTGCCTGAGTCTTCTGTCAAGTATTGTCCTATTGTCCACCCCGGAAGGCCACTCTCTGGAGGGTGGCAATGATGACCCTTTGTTGGCAGTAGTTGGCATCAACATCAATGTCTCATTCTTGAAATAGGACATCACTTGGCTCCTGTCCTCACAGAAACTTTCCGATGATTATAATTTGACCTCTTCTGAGTTACTAAATTGAAGTGGCAAATTCTTTTTGGCTTTCTTGCCAATGTTTATCAATTCATTATGGCTTCTTATAGGTCAGTGTTGAGAAGAATTCTGAGTCCATGTCAAAGTTCAACAGGTAAGATAACCACTGCCGATTAGTGGTGCTTGCCACAGGCAAAAATAGGACTCTGGCAAGGAAGGTGGCTGGTTCCTGACATGTGGCAAGTAGAGCTTGTTAAATGGTGGCATCCCTGATGGATGGGGATAACCATCCCTCTTATCACACAGATGTTCATGGAAAGGGTGACAAGGGTATTGAAGGCCTGGAAAATCTATGGCTATGATGATCACTCCCAATCAGAAAAGAAAACAGCCCAGAGAGACTCCTTCCCTCTCTCCCTTGCTTCCTTCTTCCTTTGTTCCTTCCACTTTATCCATGCTCTGGGCAGAGTAGCGGGTCAAGGGCTTTGTCTTCCTCTTTCCCCAGGGAGTGGACTGAGGGTGGGTCTCTCCTCTAAAGCCATTCAGGCCTCTTGTTTGCCCAAGGCAGCTGCAGCCACACCGTTTGCTTCTGGCCATGGAAAGCTGAGGCTTCTCAGAGCCCAAGCTAAATACTGGCTGCTGTGGAACATCGAGTTTCTTTTTTCATAGGCCCCTAGTGAATTGAAAGCCAGAAGTCAGCGACCCACCCGCCAATTATTACAGTTAATTCTGAGCATGCTGGCCTCAGGCACCAAGACAGTGAGTTCTGTCTGCTCCTGGGGGCTGTGGCCATGGGGCTCTGAATGGCTCTGTGTGTGCCTGGGCTGCTTCTGGCAGCCACAGTGGCCTCCTTTGCACCATGAGTTTGGCATCCAAGCGTGACTTCACCTGGGCCTCTTTCTCCTGGAGGCTGCCTCTGAGATCAGAGGTTTTTGAGTGTCAGGAACCTGCTTTGCTCTTTCCCTATGCCACAGCTACCCACTTTGCTCTTAGGAACTCAGCAATGATCACTTGCTCTCACTCTGCAAAGAAAAAAAGAAAACAATGGTTTAAAATGGTTGGGTTTTTCTGGTGCCTTTCTGTTCTGCCCCTGTTGTTTTGCAAGATCCCATGGATGTGGGGTCCCAGTTTCTTGGGAGTCCCTTGTGTCAATGGAGTTCAAACTTGGTCTTGCCTCAAGATGACATGGATTCTGGTTGCCCACAGCTCTCTCTTTGGTTTCTCCAAGGGCCCCTGGTTTACTTAATTCATCCGTTAGTTCCTTCCTTCCTAGGCAGTGGAAAGACAATAGAGGAATGGACAGATTTCTTGCCCTTCAAGAGTCTGGCAGGCAAGTAGACAGTAAGTGAGTCGTGGCTTCTGCAAGGGCTTGGGAGCCAGGCTGGACTTTCCATGTCCCATGTAGGAAGAGGAGTTCATCTAGATGCTGACCAGGAAGGAGGTCGCATTGAAGTGGAGACCTGAACAGGGGATAGGCAGAGGCAAAGCATGGACATGGAGCTTGGGACAGATGTGCCAGCAGAGGATACATGTACAAAGTTCTCCACGGCTTGTGGCTCCATTCAGTGGCTGAGAGGGCCAAGGAGCCAGGAGCACAGATTGCTGAGGTCCAGCAGGATATGAACTGCAACCAGCATGGGACAGTCACGCTTGGCCTCAGAAGCCATGATAAGAATGCTGGCCTCAGCCACGTGTGGTGACACATGCGTGCAAACCCAGGACTCCAGAAGTCTGAGGGAGGAGGATTCCAAGTTCGAGCCCAGCTTGGGCAAGTTAGTGACTTAGGGAGTCTCTGTCTCAAAAAGTGAAAATGGCTGGAGATGTAGCTCAGTGTGAGGCCTTGGGTTCAATTCCCAGTACCAGTGGGCATGTGGGGGTGGGGAAATGTTAGCTTTCTTCTTAAGGATGCAGTGAGTGGATGGGATGAATTGGGCAGTGCTATGATTTGGGTATAGTTTGAGTGTATCCCTAAAGGTCCTTGTGTTGGAGGCTTGGTCCTTAGTATGGAGGTGTGGAGGTGAGTCCAGTCAGATGTGTTTCTACCATTGTGATGCCACCCACCACTGCATCTTCACCAGAACTGAACCAGTGCAGGTGCCATGCCCTCAAACCTCCAGAACTGTGAGCTCAATAAATCTCTTTTCTTTATAAGGTTCTCCAGCCTCAGGAATTTCACTATGGTAACAGAAAATGGACTAGCACAGGCATCCCAATTTTGGGCACTGTACCTCCACTCCAGCCATTGTTGTATGGGCCAGATGCCTGGGCTTTGGATGTTGTTCTCCAATGTCTGAGAAAGGCGAGCTATTTGACATCATGGCTTCCAGAGTTCAATACCACGCCAAGGCCAAAGCTGGTGCAAAGATGATGAAATACAGTCCCTGATTTCAAAGCCATAGGTGGCCCTGAGTAGAGTGGCTGGACCAGAAATGGGTGATCGCCATGTGCTGAGGAGGGACTTGTGACTTCTTCCAGATGAGGAGAGTTGGCAATGCAAGAGGAGGAAATGCATTTAAGCTCATCTTGAAGTGCAGTGTCTTGGGGGAAGGTGCTACATACAAGGGGCTGGGGGTCCAGAGCCATGAAGGGTGTGGTGAATTTGGAATGAGAGTTCAGAGGGAATGTTTAATTGGCATGTGTGTCTCCTGATGCTAGAACATTGGAACCTCCTTATTGACCCAGACAGTGGGTGGCTGATGAGAACCACATGTTGGAATTAAGTCTTCTCTGGGTGGTGCAGGAGGAGGGGCCTCATCCCAAACAGAAAGGAGCTGGCTGGCTCCTTTACTGTCCCAAACTAGGAGGGGATGCTGCAAAGGCTTGCTAGACCCTCTTAGATGAAGATCTAATGCCATTATTAGCAACCAACACCAAAAAAGGTACTGGACTGTGGCTTCTCTTGGTTCTCCCATGCATCTATCCCAGGAGATTTCTGGACGAGAAAATGGATCTAAAAAACATCCTACCTGCTCAGGGTCCCAGGGAATCCTGTGCCTTCTCTTCCCCCCTGGCCTCAGCTGCAGAAAATGTCTCCTCTGGGGGACCCAACTCCCAGCGGCCACCTCAATCACATGGTACAAGGGTCTATTTTAGTTACATAAACAGAGTTGTCTACATTTGGATTCTGGGGCTGGCTGCAGGAATTTGTAAACGGCGTGGTGTACGTGTTTCACAGAAAATTGCCAGGACAGTCTCCCTTTCCCACTGTCTGTTGCCCAGTTTTTCCTTTTATAGTGAGTCTGACTGGGAAAGGGAGAAAGAACTTATTTGGGAATGGAAGACACTCTCTCCAGTGAATTTCTCTCTCCCACTCCAAGCATCACAACCTCCTCTTCTTCAAATCTGAGGTCCAGTGCTAAAGTTAAGACTATTCCTCAATGACGAGTCTCTCCTTGATACCACTTCTCTTAGACATAAACCTCATAGACAACAAATTTGGGTAAATTTTATTTCTAGAAGGGTAACAAGGAAGATTGACAGTGGAGGCAGATTTTAACATCTGCTGGGAACTGATGTCCCTGTCTGAGCCAAGACCCTGTGTGACATCTTGATGTTTTGTGGCGTCCCCTTTTCTACTCCAACCTAGGAACTTTCCTGAGCTTCAGGAAGGGGTTGTAAGCTCTCATCATAATGACAGTGGAGGCCCCAAGGAAAAGAGGGGAATGCATTTCTTCTTTCATTTCATTGCCATGAATGAAGCATCTATTCTGATTAGGCACTGTGTTCAGTTCTGTGGGCCTAGGAGATAGAAAACACAAGTTGCTGGTGTCAAAACACTACAGGGGAAGGTAGAATTGCTGAGTCAGATTCCGGATGGTGAAGGGATTCAAGTTTTACTTACTTTTTGTTTGCTAAGTGAATGAATGAATGGTCTCTGATTGAGTATGAAACCTACAGTGAAAGGTGAAGTTTAATCTTAATCTTAAATCCATACTTGAGTTTTGCTCAAATTTAAAGCTAAAGTCACAAACCATCCTGTCTTACTTGGGGCCCGGGGCTCTCTCAGGACCCAGGATGGAAAAATTCCCAGGAAAACTGCCATGAGTCGATCTCACTACTTGAAATTTAAAGCAAAGAGAACTAAGAAGAAAAGTTCCCGTACAGGAAATCAGGAAAAACAATCATGAGAGGTCACTGAACAAGACCAATGTTTCTGTTGTCTCCTTTTCACATCTTAGCATGAGAAGACAATGGAGGAGAAAATAATCCATCCACGTAGAAAGAAATGGGGAAATTAGTTGGTTATGAGCCACTGGACATTGACACTCAAAACAAAAGGCCCCCATTCTTAAAACATTTTTAAACTAACTTAATTTTAAACAAAGGTTTCTGATACGTCTTATCTTCATTTGCACAGAGAACTGGAAAGAAATGTTACTATTCCTTAGGAGGTCCTATATTCAGAAAAATTAAAGTTAGAATACGCTGCATTTTAAAGCAAGTGATGTTTAATGGGAAAGACCTACGCTGTATCTAGATGTTCTATTTCTTTACTTTTTGCTGGGCAGGAGTTGATACGATTTTAAGGAAGCAGAGATGACTGCTATTTTGATATGGAGCTGAATGTTCTAGAAATGCTAGAGATGCGTTGGAAGCACGCAGCAGGATAGCAAATCAATTGAGGGTTTTTGAAATGTCCGGCCTTCTTCAGGACGGCTAACGCTCTGCTCTGGCGCCACCTGGTGTCAGACACCTACATTTCAGGTATAAAAGCCCACAATGCATGTTAAAGCTCAGCAAACGACAGGAAAGGCCACTTTGATCACCAAAATGATGGATATTTTGTGTACTTTGTACCTTGAGGAGTCATACAAAGGAAAAACCTAATTAAAAAAAAACAAAGGAAAAACCTAGCTCTGGTTCCTTTATTCCAGAATGTTGAGTCAGAGATGGTGACCATTTTTATGGCTATTTTTCCTCATTTGTCCAATAGAGTTGCATGTAGCCACCTTGCAGAGTTGGCATAAACACTAGAGCCACTAATCAAAAAAAATTAGACTCTCCAAAATAAAAAACTCAATTAAAAAATGGACATGTGAAATGAAAGACACTTCATGGAAGAGGTACAAATGGCCAATAAATACATCAAGAAATGCTCAACATCACTGGCCACTAGAAAAATGCAAACTAAAACAACAGTGAGATTCCATCTTACCTCAGAAAGAATGGCCACCATCAAGAAATCAAATGAAAACAAATTCTGACAAGGCTTTGAGGAAAAAGGAACCATGCTACATTGTTGGTGGGAATGTAAACTAGTGCATCCACTATGGAAATCAGTACGGAGATTCTTCAAAAAACCAAAACAAGAAATTCCATTTGACCCTGCAATTTCTCTTCTAGGTATCTTCTTAAAAGAGTTAAAGTCATCATATTACAGTGATACATGCACATCCATGTTTATAAAAGCACGATTCATAATAGATAAAACTTGGAATCAGCCTATATGTCCATCAACAGATGAATGGCTGAAGAAAATGTGGTATTTACATACAATAGAATACTGCTATGCCATAAAAAATAACTTTGAGTCATTTGTAGGAAAATGGATGGACTTTGAGTTCATAATGTTAAGTGAAATAAATTAGACACAACAGCTTAAATATCACATGGTTTCTCTTAGATCAGAAACCCAAATTGTAAATAAAGAGCAAAATAAGAGATAGATAATAGGAAATGGGGAGATAGATCTTCCTCAAATGGGAAGGGGGTAGAGAGATGGGGTAAAGGGAGAGGGAAAAGAGGGAAGGCAATGAAAAAAGGAACGAAGATGTGTTATGTACATGTTCCAATTTCACATAAGGAAGACACTTTTTTTTTTTTTTGGTACCGGGGATCGAACTCAGGTCCTTGCCCTTGTGAGGCAGGTGGCGGAACCACTGAGCTAAATCCCCAGCCCGCCACACAAGGAATGTAAATATTATGTTCTGAAAACATGTACTTACTGGGGACCCCTGAAACATTCCTGGAGACCTCTGCAAGAGGCTCCAGTCTCCTACTCAGTGTACGATGCAGGTCTGGGGAAAAAAACCTCTAAAAGACAGAACTAAAAGAGACACAAAGTGGGGTGTCAGGACGACCAATGCCAGTGCAACTGAAGAGGTGATGGCCAGTCCAAGCCACTGATTTTTATTGGTCATCTACTGAGGTAAAGGCGAGCTACTGCAAGGGCAGAACTACATGTGAAAATGCACAGTCATGTGGTTTCTATAGAAATTAATGTAAGCAAGGCTCATGAAGGGCAAGACAAACCGTTCTCGAATTAGGAACAGAATAGATAAAATATATGGTTGCAATTAGAACACTGTCCTAGTCAGGTTTTAGTTGTGGGAATGGAATTTGGGTGCGAGTTAGTCTGACCTCGGCACTTAGGCTTCAACTGGACTCGCTTCTATAAATAAGTCAATTGTGACGTTAGCTCTTCACAGCCTGCATGGCCTACAGCCTGCTTTGGGCATCATCAATACTGCAGTCTCCCTCACGTACAAATAAAAAAAAATGACTAGAGCCACTGTAAAGGGCCTGGCACACAGTAGTCACTTAATAGGTAGCTGGAGTAGTTGAGCCAATTGCAGTGGTTGTTGTTATTTTTGATAGATGGGGGTGGATGCACCTGGGAAAGCTGGCTGTGGGTGGCAAACTCTGTATTGAACCTTGTGCTGTTAGTGATTTCCTGAGAGTAGACAATGCAGTGTCACTGTAAAAGTCAAACTGCAGCTGGTTGTGGTGATGCATGCCTGTCATCCCAGCACTCTGGGAGGCAGAGGCAAGAGGGTCACCTGTTCAAGCCCTGCCTGGACAGCTTTTTTTTTTTGGCACCAGGGATCGCACTTGGGTCCTTGCACTTGCGCAGCAGCCAGCGAAACGAGTGAGCTAAATGCCCAGCACGACAGCTTATTGACTTAGTGAGACCTTGTTTTAAAGTTAAAGATTTTAAAAAGGGGCTAGGGATATAGCTCAATGCAAAAGCCTTAGGTTCATTTCCCAGTACTGAAAAAAAAAAAAAAAAGAGTTGAGCCTTGTGAGAATCTGAAAGTGTAGCCGACACGTGGTCTCTTTAAGGGCAGTAAAGCACAAGGTCAAATTTCCTGGGCAAGACTTTCCCCAGGGGCATGGATGAAGCTTTCAGGTCCTGGCCAATCTTTGATAAGTTTCCAGAGATCTTATATACAGGAGGCAGATCTGCCTGATATTGGGCACATGGAGAAGGTACTAAGAACAAGAGAAAATTTACATGCAAGAGGAAGTGACAATCAAGTCTTGACTCAGTGTCTTGATTCCTTACTGTAGAATCCAGGGCCTGGACTGGACCATCTTTAAGGCCCCATATAGTTCTAACATTCTAGAAGTCCTGGGAGTTCATAACCTGTGGGTACAAAAAACAGAGCCTAGCTGATGAGAATTTATTTGGAGCAACTGGAATTTTCACTTACTACTGGTATGTAAAATGATACAATAATGCTGGAAAGTCACTTGAGAGTTTCTCATAAAACTGAGCACACTCTTACTGTATAATGGAGTAATTACATTCTTATGCCTTTAACCCAGAGAAATGCAAACTGCATAACACCAAGTCCTGCATGTGAATGTTCATAGCTGCTCTATTTGTAATAGCAAAAATACTGAAAAAAAAAACCCCAAATGTCCCTCAACTGGAGACTTGGATGGTGAAATATCTGTACAGTGGAATATTACTCAACAATAAAAAGAAACTAGCCATCGATATTTACAATTTGGATGGTTCCTAAGGGCATTAGACTGCGTGGGGAAAAACTGATCTCAAACAGTTACCTACTATATGTTCTTATTTCTATAGCATTCTGAAAATGGCAGATTGATAGAGAAGGATGCCTGTGTAGTGGCTCCCTGGGGCTAGAGATGGGAGACATGGGTCAGTTATAAAAGAGGGTGGTGGTGGTGAAGGAGTTCATTAGAGGTGATAGACAGTTCTATTTCTTGGTTATGGGGGAGGATCCCCAAATCTATAACACACACACACACACACACACACACACACACACACACACACAGAGCATATGTAAAAACAGTGAAATCAGAATGTGGGCTAGCTTCAGCATTGTATCAGTACTGATGACCTACCTTTGCTATTATATTATAATCATGACCAATGTTACTATTGGAGGAAGCTGGGGGAAGGGTACAGGGGGCTCCACATTTTTGTAATTTCCTATAACTTTACAATTCCTTTTTAAAAAATTAAAAAGAAATCTATAGAAATGGTCCTTGGGGCCACATCCTTTACTTCTTTTAATTTTTAAAGATTTTGTCTTTTTAGCATCTATCTTTAAGGTATACAACATGATGTTTTGCTGTACATATGCATAGTAAAATGATTACTATGGTCAATCCACTGTGTCTGTCACTCTGTAAAATTAAAAAACAAACAAACAAAAGAGACTAATATTGCTGTGGGCTGTTGACGCTTAGAGCAGACAGCAGAGAGGGTGCTGCCCACCCAGAGGGCATTGAGACTGGTTTTTATTGTCTGTGCAGAGGTGCAAAGCTCTGGCTTTTGCTGTTTTATGAGCCACACATGCTTGACAGCACTGTGGGGACACGGTGTGGCCGTTTTAAATACCACAGCTTTCAGTTTGGATTTTTCTTCCTGCAGCTCTCTTCACAGAAGCGAACCAATGATAAATAAATTAAAAAGGAAAATAAAAGGTAGATAATAAGAAATGGGGTGTTAGATCTTTTGAAAATGGGAAAGGGGTGAAGACATAGAGGGATGGGGAAGGAGTGGAGGGGAAGAGATGAAGAAAGAATTAAGATGTGTTATGTGCATGCACCAACTGCCCACATTGAATGTGATCATTATGCACCGCAGATGTGTACTAATAAAGATAAAAATCTGAAAAACTCCCTGCCCACCCAGAGGTGAGAGACAATACACTTGAATGTGATTATAATGAATTCTCCACATGAGGATAGCAGGCTCTCCTTTCTGGATACTCAGTGAAACTTCAGGAAGTTACCAATCAGGCAAATTCTTACAGCCATCCCAGGAGATGCCTGGATTAATGTTAATTTTCTAATTTTTAAGATTTTCTTTTCATTGTCTATATTTCAGGTGTATAACATGATGATCCGACACACTTACACATAGTGAAATGATTACTACAGTCAAGCAAATTAACATATCTATTAACATATTTACATTATCAATTGATATAGCATATTTATGTTATCAATTTATGTAACCATGTCCAGCTTTGAAGATGAGATTTTTTTTATAAGACATTGAACTATGAGTTTCTTTTAAATTTTCAAGGAGATGAAATCCTCTGAAAATATTTCTTATGGGAGCAAGTGCTCAACGTGGTGGATGTCCCTACTGAGGCCACATCTGAATGCCTCAGAAGAGTGGGAGGGTGGGAACCCATGGCTGGGTCCCCAGGGGGCAGCTAGCCATGCTTTTCTGCCCTGGACATCTATGTCCTGGACTTTTGTCTTTGAAACAAAACGTCTCAGAAACAAAAGCTTCAGAGAAAATCTACTCAAAAATCTGCCCAAACAAAGGGCTCTGGGACTAGAAAGAAATGATGTCAAGAATACATCTGTCCAAAAATGATATAGCATTTAATGAATAGTGAATAGAAGCACTAAATATTTTTATTTCCAAATAAATAAGACAGTTTAATATTATATAGAGCTAGGGTAACTTCCATTTTCATTGTTCCTTACATATTTCTTTAATTGAAAAGAATATTTTCTTTTTAATTGTCTGTAAGGAATACACCTTGATGTTTCAATATACATATATAAGAGAAATAATGACTACAGTCAAGTCAATTAGCATATTAATTTACATACCATTAACAAATTTAAATAATTCATTAGCCTATCAACATCATTAAGTGTGTGAGCAGTAAAAACAGAAAAATTTAACTTCTTGGCAATTTTCCAGAACACAGTGCGTATAATACATTTTATTAATCAAACAAACAAATGAACAAAACATGACCACATATCTGGATAGGGTCCTGCTGGATACCTTAAGAAGAATTTGGATTTGAAGCAGAAATGAAAAAGTCAGGCCAGATTCCTGGCAAAACTGGAAAGAGGCAAAATTTGTTATTTATCCCTTTCTATGTTTCCCTATTTGTGCCAATGTGATTTTCTTTACAAGAGCCCATTGGTCTCTCTTGGTTGTTGGGGCAAAGGAAACTTCCTTTGCGCTCTCTGAAGGTCTCATCACTGTCTGCTGACACAAAGCAACAATAGGCAGATTAACAGAAGAAGAGACACACAATATATTAACCTGCACATGCACAGGAATCACCCAGTGCACAAACCCAAAGAAGGTCTGGCTTAAGGGTGGAGGCTCAGATAGCATTTTGAGCTACAGAAAGACATAAGGGCTTCTGATTGTGACACAAGCTATAAGAAAATAAGGGTGTGTGTGCTAGTCAGCTGTGCATCACTGTGACATAATTCCTGGAAAATCCAACTTACAGAGGAACAGGTTTATTTTGGCTCATGGTTTTAGAGGTTTCAGTCCATGGTCAGCTGGCTTCAAGGCAGAAACATCATGGCAGAAGGGTATGGCATAGCAAAGCTGCTTACCTTATGATAGCCAGTAAAGGGGGGAGGGATGCAGAAGGAGAGATGAAGGGGCTGGATATAGTTCCCAGAATCATGCTTCCGTGATTCAAGGCTTTCAAGAAGGCAACATCTCTTGTTTCCAGCAACTCCCAATAAAGCCATTGAATTTTTACTTCATCCATGGATTACTCCATGAATGACGTTAGAGCCCTTGTGATTTAATCACCTTCTCAAAATCCTATCAGCTGGCAACCAAGACTTTAGCACATAAGTTGGGGGGGGGAGGTATTTCTAATCCAAATCCTAAAAGGAAATGCATGATGAGCAAAGTTGTCTTATTATGCAGGTCAAGTCTGAGACATGAGCCCCCAGAAGACAGGTGAAAAGTCAGTCTGGGTGTGATGTCCTGATTGCCTTCCCTCTGGAAGTGTTTTTCATGGGCAAATAAAAGAACTTCAGAAAAAGCCCTCCCTGACCTCTGGGGAAGAAGGTGAAGTGAAAGAAGTTCAGAGAGATCTTTGTTTCTCAGACTGCTTTTTAGCTCAAAGTACTCAGCAGGCCAAAGCATCATTCTTAGACGTATCATTTTCGGAGCCCCAACACAGCTCCTGGGGGAAATGAAGCCCCCATAGTTGTCTCTTTGAGCTATAGCTACGCCTCTCTCTTCTCTTATCTCATTCATGTTTAACCTGTATGTACCTGTGGCTCGCACAGGTGATTCTTTTATTTTGGTTTGGATTGGCTTTGTAAAATAATCTAAGTATAATAATAAGGTTTCATTTTATCCCAGATTAATGCCAAATTAAGAAATGCTACTGGAGACTATATGGTGATCTACAACCTATAATCTCCTTGTTACATTCATTCTCTGCTAGCAGAAATTAAGATTGCACCTTACTATTAGACCTAGGACTTCTGTCCTTATTTACTTTGGGCCTCACAGAAGTTATGATGTTAGGGAAAATAGAACACAGAGAAGCGCAGGTATCCTTCAAATTTCCATTGCAAAATGGGCTGTCTGGTTTGGGGGAGCAAGATGGTCAATCTCAGAAGCATGAATGCAATGAAACTGGTGGGGCATCTTGAGCGAAGGATCCACTTGAAAAGAATAAACTTTAACACAACTCTCTTTGCTTTGTCATTAATGCAGCATCTCAACAGCATCTCACAAAGTTGCTGACTTCTTTGCTAAACAAAAGAAGCTGCACATGTTTAGAGAGTCCTTGGTGAATCGATGGTTGTTGATTCCGATGGTCAGGCTTTTTTGTGTGAGGTAAGAAGAAAATTGCAGTATTTCCTCAGCCAGTGATGCTATCCAGTCCAGGACCACTGCCATCTCTTTATATTCTGAAGCTTGGTGTTTAGCAGTGTGGAACTCCTGGTGTTCTACAGCACCACTATTACTAGCTTTCCCCCAAACCATTACACTCATACTAATAGCAGCAAAGAAAATTTCCCATTACAGGAGTCTCATTTAGAAACCAGCTATTGTTAATATTTTTGAAAAGGTGAAAAGTTTCTTTTTCTATCCTCTTTTTGATTGAAAGAATAATTGCAGTATCTTATAAATAGATAAGATTATTGATTTCTTCACAGCCAGAATCTAGAATGATCCCCATCAGTTTGGGATACATTGGAAGCTTTTGTTCAACTGGACACAGAATGTGCAGATAGATAAGGTCCTCTTTGGCATGGAGCTGAAGCTCTGGTTAGAGACAGGGAACGGGAAAAAAGTCATCAATAAGGCTGGGTAACTTCAGAATTCAAAGATGCTAGGCACAGCTGAGCAAACTCTACATGGACCCCATTGATACTGTATACTAAGTGAGCGCTTTCTCCTGGGTTGTGCACCGCCCAACCTATCCAACAACATGTGGTGGCAGCCCTGTGAAATTCAGAGAATAAAAAATACTACCAGGAAAATAGAAATAGGTGACTGATGACTGGGTGAGAGTAGTGCAGATTGGGTAGACAAGAAAAAATTGACTGAAGATACTATGGGAACTGGAAAATGAAAGAGAGATGTAAAGGCCTGGGCAAAAAGCACTACAGGCAGAGGGTACAGCTTACACAGAGATGTTGCGGTAGACTGAATGATGCCCCTCAAAGGTGTCTGCATCCTAACCCTTGAAACCGGGGGAGGTGTTACCTGATGTAGTAAAGTGGACTTGCTAGTGTGATTAAGAATCTCAAGATGGAAAGATTACCTTGGGCTGTCCAGTTTGGCCAGATGCCATCACAAGAGATGTTAGAAGAGGGAGGCAGGCGGGTCAGAGTGAGGGGTAGAAGATGTGACTACGTACGTAGAGGTTGGAGTCATGGCAGGAAGAGACCATGAGCCGAGGAACAAGGTGGCCTCTAGATGCTGAAAAAGGAAATGGACTTCACCCCAGAACCTCCCAAAAGATGCAGTCCTGATGACATCTGGAGTTTATATCAGTGAGATCCACTTTGGATTTCTGACCTCCAGAACTTTAAGACAATAAATTTGTTAAATTGTGAAGTTTGTGGTAACTTGTTACAACAGCAATGAAAAACTAATATAGATGCTAATGCAGGAACAACAAGAGCAGCAAAGCAGGACCAGTCTATGTGAGGGAAGATGCAATCAGAGAGAGGACAAGGGGCCAGCTCATCCATGCCTGGTGGGTGCAGAAAGGATTCTGGATTTTATTTCCAAAGTGATGGAAACCAATGCGGAGTTTTAAGAGGAGGAGTATCATGTTCCGATCAGTGTTTCTAAAAGATCATGGTGGTTGCTCTTGGAAACATACGGCTGGGACCAAGGCAGCAAGCAAGCCATCATAGCATCGAGGAGCAAGCTGGTGGTGGTGTGAAGAGAACTGGCTGAGCAAGGATATGTTTTGAAGTGGCAAATTAAAGCACAAACCAGCAGGGCAGTAATTGTGACACATCCATATTTATTGCTTCCAGGAAGGAAGACAAGTTCAAAGGGGCTTCCTGTTCAGAAATGGAAAGAACTGGGTTTATGGGATCAAGGAGAAGCACAAACAAGGAGGCAAGATTCTGAGGACAGCTGTTTTGTTGCCTCATGATAGGGATTGTAACTGTTTTTTTGCAATTGGTCATTGCACTAGTTTGTGGCACCAAAGGCCAAATACTGTTTTCAAAAAGGTTGGGATGGGTTTATTAAGATTCTAGCGAGTTCACTGTCACCCAGTGAGCAAAATCACACACCATAGTCAAGTGCGCAGTGAGTTTCTTTAATGGGAAGCAGAGTCAATAGCACTCACTAACAGATTAGATGGAGAAAATGAGCCAAAACAAGGAATCAAAGCTAATTCTTGGGTTTTTGGCTTATGTAACTGGAAGGAGGATGAATCCACTTTACTGTAGATAGAGAAACAGATTTGGTGGAAGAATCAAGAGTTCTGCTTGGACTTTTGAAGTTGAGATGCCCAGTAGACTCAAAGTGGAAATGACAGATAAGCTTTTGGAATTTGAGACTGAAGTTTAGAAGAGAGGATTGAAATGGAGACACAAATTTTCAAATCACCTATACACACACACACACACACACACACACACATATACATGGATCTTCAAGAACTCTATTGTACACTTTACATAAAAATCATACATACCCAGTTTAAGCATACAGTTGAGTGAGTTTTGACAAAAGTATATACCCTCATAACCATTACCACATTGAAACATAGAACAATAAATCACCCTAAAGGGTTCTCTCTCAATCAGTTGCAGTCAGTCTTCCCCTCACTTGACCCCAAGAAGCAAGTAATCTGCTATCATTATATAGCACTTATGCCCTTCTGGAATTTCTAGCATTGGAATCATGCACTACAGCCTCTTTTGTATCTGACTTATCTTGCTCAGATAATGTTCTTGAGATTCATTTACATTATTGCATGTATCATAAATGGTTTGACTTTTATTGTTGAACAATATTCTGTTGAATGGATATACCACAATTTGCTTACTCGTGTATCTGTTGAGGGATATTTGTATTATTCTGTCTTTAGCTATTATGAATAAAGCTTCTATGAGCATTTATATGTAAGTCTTTTTGTGGACATACTTTTTGCATTTCTCTTAGGTAAATGCCTAAAAGTGGAACTGTTAGGGCCATATGGTAACTTTTTGTTACTGTTTCGAAGTGGTTGTACCATTTATGTTCCCACCAGCTTCTAGTTGCTCTACATTCTTACTGACACTGGGTGTATTCAAGTGTTTTCATTGACATTTAGCCATTCACTTTCAGACACTCTGGTTGGTAAGTAGTTGCATCTCCTTGTGGTTATAAGTACATTTCCATTGATATTGTGTATTTATGTATTTATTGCTACACCTTTTTAGGGTAACGTGTCTGTTTAACTTTTTGTCTAGTTTATTGACTCAGTTTTTAAATTTTTAAATTAAAAGTTTTTTACATATATTTTGATACTAATCCTTTGTATATTCTAAATACACATTCACTATGATTATTTTTCCCATTCTGTTACTTGTCTTTCTATTTTCTTAATTATGTTCTTTTAATACTAATAGAGTACAATATATCAAATATACTCCTTTATTATTCATGTGTTTTTTATCCTATAGATGGCATCTTTTTCTACCCCAAGATAACAAAGATTTATTCTCATGTTTTCTTCTAGAAGTTTTATAGTTTTAATTTTTATATTTAGGTTTACAGTCCATTTCAAGTTAGTTTTTGTGTATATTGTAAGAGTTGAGGTTCATATTTTTTCCATGTGTCTATTTAGTTGTTCCAGAATTTGTTGACAAGGTCATCCTTTT